TATTCAGAGGCACTCTCCTTGTACCTCTTCAGGTTCTTTGTCTGACCTCACTACCCTCAATGGGGTGCTAATCTTTTCCTTGCATGCTATAACACCTTCTTATTTATGTTTGTATACATAACAGGTAGTATATTTTGCATGTATTTTTGAACATCTGTGTTGAGATATAATTTGCATGTCATAAAATGCACCATTTTAATTGCATTTCAATGGTTTTCATTAAATTAACTGAGTTGTGTGACCATTAGTACAATCCCATGTTTGCTTTCAATTGAATAACTTTATTGAGTTATAATTCACATCCCATTCATTCAATCCATTTAAACTATACAATTTATCTTGGCTTAGTGGCACATGCCTGTAATCCCAGCATTCAGGAGGCAGAGGCAGGGGGATTGCAAGTTCAAAGCTAGCCTGGACTACAGTGTGAAATTCTGTTTCTCCTCCCAAATGTATACAATTTTAGTAGGGTTTTAGTATATTCACAGTTAATCTATTATCTAATTTCACTTTTTATTATCCCTGAAAAAATAAACCCTATTATCAGTCATTCCTTGTCACTCTGATTCTCAGCCCCTGGTACCCACTCATCTGTTGCATACAAATGGAACTTTACTCAGTGTGGTCTTTTGTGACTGTCCATGCTCTATAATACAGATACATTTATGGAATAACTACTGCATCCTCTACACTGCTCCTGAGAATGTTTTGGGGATTTGATAGCATATACAGATAGCTTAAATTTTCTTTTCTATACTTTCTAGTCTATGGCACATTTGGTAAAACTCTTTCCCTCCCCTTCCCTCTTTCCATCTCTCCCATTTCTTTCTCTCTCTGCTTCTTTCCTCTCTCCTGAAGCTCCTGTCCACAGACGGTCATCTCCTCCCTTCTTCATTCCCTCCCTCCAATAAAAAAACACTGCATGAAAGCTCTGTCACAAGATGGCATCTCTCTCCCTCGCCATTTTTTCAAACAACAACGTTGCTAGAGAATAATTGTAAATAAAATCTATCGGTATAAGTATTCCCAGGCAGAGGTAGAGGAGGCAGCCATCTTTGACTGAATTCTAGTGGGGGGCATGGTGGGGGTAGTAAATCCAGCTGCAGGATGCTCTCTGCCAGCATGAGCTCCAAAATAAGCTACAGAGAGAATGTTACTTTGTCTCTTGCTTTCTAGACAATCACTGATGGAAGAACAGGTGAATGATCACTTGCAGAGATACTTGGATGAGATTTGCCACCTCAAACAGCATTTGGCATGCACTGAAGAGAAAATGGCCTATTTGTCCTATGAAAGAGCCAAAGAAATATGGGTGAGATCCTCAGGGAGAAAAGGGCTATGGGGGAATGAGTTAATCTATGTGTATGCTCCCAAGGCAAGAGAAGATCTAGCTGTGCCAACGCTGAAGCAAAGGTACAGCGGTAACCTGTACCTTTGCTTTAGAACCAGCACTGTATACTTTGCATGTCTCTGTGAGTTGCTTTGTGAACTTTTGACTGTCTTCTTATCCTGTAGGAGCAATCACTGAGCCATAGCCTGGAGTCTGTGACCTACAGATCAGGGGTAAAGCCTAACAAACCCAAGAGATGCTGAGGTGTTTGCATTGCTAGTAGAGGGAAAGCTTCTTTGGGTCTAGCTTTCTGCCCCTTAGTTCTTTCCACATTCATAGCTCCTACTGCTGTCCCTGATTAACCCTTTCCCACCCAGGTCCTCAGACTCAGCAGTAGATAAGGACCAGGAGCCATTAGCCTAGCACTTCACAGCAAATGTCTTGTCTCCACTGTGCATGTCCTAGTTCTCTCTATCTCTCCTAAAAGATTCAACTCATCAGGTATGATGGCACAGGCCTTTAATCTCAGGATTTGAGAGGAAGAGGCAAGTAGATCTCTGAATTTGAGAACAGCTTTGTCTTCATAGCAAGTTTCAGGTCAGCTTGAACTACATAGTGAGATCTTGGCTTGAATAAATAAATAAAAAAGAAAAAAAGATAAAACAGGAAAAAAATTCATGTCAACAGTACTTCTTGAATACCCATAAGCAAATACATTACTAAATTAGATAAGCACATTTCTGTTTTGACTTCTGGTGACTATATATGTTTGTTACCTATAGGATGTAATGGAGACTTTCAAGAGCAGAATAACCAAGCTAGAAACTCAACAGCAAGCTACCCAACTGGAGATGATGGCCAGCCTCAGAACCCGTCCCAAGGACTTTTTGTTCAGATTCATAAGCCTGCTTCTCACACTGACCACTGTCCTCTTGGTCTTGGTCTCTACCTTGTGTTCTTGCCCCTTGCCTCTGCTCAACTCACGCTTGCGCACATTCACTGTGTTCGTGTTGATTGGCCTTGTGTCCTTGGCTTGGCAGAAGCGGCATATCATCTCCATCATGGACTGGCAGGCTTGGGTCCCCTTCAAGTGGAGACCAGACTTCAAGGATGCTAAACCTCCATTAGATGGACAGTGAGAGGCAAGGAGTCTAATACACCTGAATATGTTCATTTCCATATGTTGAGGGCATTCAGTAAGCCTTCCCTAGAGAACTACTTTGTTGCTGTCACTTTCTTAATTCTGTAACCACCAGTCCAGTGAGATACATGCAGATGCCAACTTGTCTTCTTCCAGTTTTCCATGATCTTTTCATAATATCTATAGACATGGGGATTGGATTAAAAATAAAAGAAACCTATGTTCTTGTCTCTTTGTCTACATTGTACTCTCTACAGGTCTGGTGCCTGAATACCCAGTAGATTATATAACCCCAAATTGTAGTAGCCATCTCTGGGACTTTGATTGGGCAAGGGGAAATTATGTTTATTTCACAAGAATGGAGGAGAAGGGAGGTAGGATATGGCCAAAGCTTTGGTGGATGGGACAGGTTGGAGGCAGACCTCATGCAGGTGACACTGAAGAGACAGATAAGACTTCTGTTTTAGAGGTGCTGGAAAGTTCAGAATTATCATCAACCTTCTTTCCAAAGAGCTGTAAGATGCAGTTTCGAAACTAGAAGGACAGGAAGCATTATTCAGCAAAGCAGAAACAGCTAGTGCACTGTGCTAAAGGTGAGGCTTGGGACATTTGGTACTGTCTCTTTGTGGATGTACACCTTCCCTTCTTCCATTCAGAATACCATGAGTGGGATGAAGAAGGCTCAGTTCATTCTTTACACACATGAATGGAGGATGTCTGAATCATATAATTTAGTGGTTAATGGTAATTCTAGTTGAGTTGTGACTGTTCCTAAAACACCTTAATTACTGGAACCTGTGACTGTGCCTTTTTGGAACTGGAGTCTTTGCATATGTATGTTACAATGAAGTAATACTGGATCAGAATTATCACTAGCCCAGTGACCAGTGTACTTGTGAGAAGAGGAAGATTTAGACAATACTATACATATAGGGAAATGGCTATGCTAAGAATAATATTGGGGCAGCATGTCTGTGAGTCATAGAACAAGGGAGGCTAGGAGAGAGACACAAGACTGATACTCTCTCAGCACCTCAAAAAGGAACAATAATAATGATGACACCTAGACCTCAGATTTCTGGCCTCTGGAACTGTGAGAAACTTAAGTCCTATTTTCTTGTTTTTCTTGTTTGTTTGTCTGTTGCAGAACTAGGAACGTAGCCTAGGGCTCTGTGTATGCTAGGTAAGCACTCTGCCACTGAGATACAATTCTGCTGTCTTAAGCCACAAAGCTTGTGGGATTTATTGTGGTAGCCTCAGGATACTTAGGCAGTGACCAAACCCAATGCCAACTAAGGAGCCCAGCTACAAATCTTTGAGAACCCAAACTAAAAGTATCACCTTATTACAGCTCTATTTGTGACTATCGTCATTTCCTCTAATATTAAAACTCTCAAAATGAAAATACTTAAGTGTTGACATTGATAATATTAAAGGTGGACTAAATAACAACATGAACCTGACTGAAAAACTAGCAGATAAGGCAAGAAATTCATTTAACATCTACTTACTGAGTTCTTACTTCATGTCTAGTTGTATTCTGGAGGGAGATAGTAGTGAACAAGAATGGAATCTACTGTTGCAATTTTCTTGGAATATAGCAGAATGAGTGAAAATAAAATTTGCACACCTGGCCACATATGTTTCCTGACTTTCACAAAGATCTCTTTCTAGGACTGCTTTCAGTTTTTGGCAGAGGAGATCTGGGGTAGAGAACTTGCCTGGCATGCACCAGGCCCTGTGTTCCATCCCAAGCACCAGAGGAAGGAAGATGATAGAGGAAAGAGGAATCAATTGGAAAGACTCAGAGTCTGATGAAATGAGAGGCTCCAGTGAACACTTCTGATTACTAATAACTCACACAGTAGATGTCCCTTAATGAAGTGTATGTGATGGATTCAAGGAGGAGGAAACTAGCACTCAGAAGGTGATAAACCTCTTAAGGTTCACATATAACCTTCTAAGAGGATCTAAAAGTCATGAGCAACTTGTGTCAAAGTCTAATATGGCAGCTATGGATGGTTTCCATCAGACAAGACCCTGGACAAAGCCATAGCATGCTCTCTCTGAACTAATTCATGAGTTCATAAAAGCTCTTAAACTCTTAGCTAGTGTAGCCAAGAAAGGCTAAATTTTTAAGGAGGCAAAAGTCCCAGTCAAGGTATAAAAATGGAAAAATTTAGAGTTGAGTCTGTAAACACAAGAGGAGCAGAATTAGCTAGGGTCATTTTACGCTCACTGAGTGCTTAGTGCATCTGAATTCTAGAAGCACCTTTAGAATATTCCTGTCCATAGTGTGGGGTCATCAGAATGGAAGAACTTGTACTGCACTGCACTTTCTTAAGTACCCAGTCTCAGATGGAGACAGTGCAAGGATACCAGAGCTCATAGTTAAGAGGAGGTCTGGTGAGGGTGGGTCACATAAAGAGCCTTTCCACACTCATTTTCTTAGAGGAGCATCATCAGTCCCCCACTTTCTCCATAAGGCTTTCTCATTGATGACTTGGTTCCAGGTAAGAACCTTCACTGAGTTATGGGCCATTTTGAATTTGATCTACTCATGTTTTTGCTTACCTGCCGGTTCATAAAGACATAGATAATGGGGTTGTAGATAGTAGCACTTTTGGCAAAGTAGGATGGTATGGAGGCCACAAGAGGATGGAAGGCATAGCCAGGATGGGCAGTAGCAAAGCATGCAAAGAAAGTATAGGGCCCCCAGCAGAGGCAGTATGCAAAGATCATCACCACCACCATTCGTGTCACCTCCTTCTCGGCCTTCTGGGTGGACTCAGATTCTTTCTGTTGCTTTGCCACCTAGAGAAGACAAGGACAATGAATGGGGAAGTCAGTTTGGGCTCTATATCTGGAGGGAATATTGCTATTGCCCAGGCACTGAGTCTGGATACTAGCAAGAAGAGGGAAACCTAAGGATCTACAGGGATTAGGAAATGGTCCACCTAGTATTCCAATCCTGTGTCCCACACTAAGTCAGAGAATGACTTGACTTGGGAGCCAGAGTGGTCCTGGAGCTTTGTAGGCATTCCTGTAGGCCTTGAGGTAACAAGTGGCTGGCGTAGCCAAGGTCAACCCTCAGACAAAACTGTGAAACTGTTGTCTATAATTTCATAGAAGCTTGTGAAGGAGAACTAAGGAGACCGAGCTTAGCCTTTATATGATCCATTCCAAGGTCTAGTCTTGTGCTCAGGTTTGATTTTGGAGTCCTGAACTGAGCCCTAGAAGTCAAGTTTGCTTTAACTAAACCAGGCCTGGCAGGTGTCCAGTGGCAATGCAATAGCCATACACACACGTCTTCCACGCTTTCTAAAGGATAGAGGCCAGCCTTTATCTGCCATGGAAGGCTTGCTGATGGCAGACAGTTAGCTGTAAAAGGAACCATGAGGGCTAGAATCCAGTGAGAGCTGCAACAGCATTGATGGGTTTTGCTAGTCAAGAGCTAATACTGCTAAAATTTGAAGAAAACTCTGTGGGAGCTAGCTAAATTGATTCTAATATGGGATGACCAAATTGCAGGGACCCAGAGATCAAATTGCAGCCTTCATTACAAGACACTGGTAGAGTTCATGGTCTTTTCCAGAAAGACCTTATAAACACCTCCATATTTATATGGAGCACAAAGTAGCTATATAGGAAAAGCAAAACCTGGAGGGCCTTTCTGTTACATAGGATCTCACCAATAAACAAATGGAACATAACGTAAATGGTAGGGGAGTTGTTTGACAAAGGGGTGATTTATGCTGTAGAGGGAGACCAGTAGAGGAGCACAGAGCTCTCGGCATACAGTACCTAGGTTACACATCCCCTTACTATCATTTTTTTTTTTTACTGGGGAATCTCCAGTGGTATCCTGGCCTGGGTAAGGATGTTGGTGGGATAGGGATTGCTGATAGAATTGGCATTCTAAGATGAAACACCAGACACAGGGCAATAGAGAGCAGGTCTGAGGGCAAATAGCACCCCTGAGTCCACTTCTTGATCTTCCCCAAGAGCCCCATTGTGGTGATTTGAGACAATGCCCCCATAGGCTCTTATATTTGAACATTTGGTCCCTAGTTGATGAAACTGTCTTGGAGGGATTAGAAGTAGTTTCTAACATGAAACACACTCTATTTTTGTTGTTATTGTTTGTTGTTGTTTTTTGTGTGTATACATTTTTTGTTTTAATTTTTGTTTAATTTCTTTTGATCTTTGTTTTTTGTTTTATGTTTTTATGAGAGAGAGAGAGAGAGAGAGAGAGAGAGAGAGAGAGAGAGAAGAGAGAGAGCATGAAGTTGGGTGGGGAGGATTTGGGGAGAGGGGAAAATACAATCAAAATATATTGTACATATATGTGGCTGGCTTCTGTATCCCTACTCCTCATACTGGGGTGCCTTGCCTATCATTAATGGGAGGTGCTTAGTCTTACTGCAACTTGATATGCCATGCTTTGTTGATACTCCTGGGAAACCTGCACTTTCCTAAACAGAAACACAGGAGGAATCTCTTTTCTTGCTCTCCTCTATTCTCCCAACTCGATCTTCCTGATCCCTCATGTCCTCCTCCCCCCATCTCCCCTCCTCTTTCTCCTACCTCCCTCCCCCTCCCCCATACTCCCAATTTTCTCAGGAGTTCTTGCCCCTTTCCCCTTATCTGGGGGACCATGTATGTCTCTCTTAGGGTCCTCCTTGTTTCCCAGCTTCTCTGGATTGAAGGCTGGTAATCCTTTGCTCTATGTCTAAAATCCATATATGAGTGACTACATACCATGTTTGTCTTTTTGTGTCTGTGTTACCTTACTCAGGAGAACGTGAGGTATCAGGAAGATTGAGTTGGGGGAAGAATAGAGAAGGAAGGCAAGAATAGAGAAGGAGAACAAGAAAAGAGATACCTTAATAGAGGGAGCCATTATAGTTATAAAGAGAATTCGGGCACTAGGGAAATGTCCAGGGATCCACAAGGATGACCACAACTAAGAATCTAAGCAACAGTGGAGTGGCTACA